CAATATATCGTTCCTCCTACGCTGGCTTTCCCAAGACTTCTCCCATCGCCTAAGGAACCGGGCCTGGAAGATTATAGCTGTTAGGATTAACCGTGATAGCCTTAACACATATAGTCCGCCAGAAATTCACGTGCAATAGCCTTCTCTCTCCCTTTTCTACGTCATCACGTGGTTGATTGCTACTGTTCTTCAAAATTTAGACTTAACACGGGAAGATATACCCCCCCCCATACTACATAGGACCTTGCGGTGAATTCCAGGGTGTAATGGTCTGGACACAGGAATATATTCCTTCCCTTTAATATAGCATGAAGTCACCTGTAATATGGGTGTATCTATTCCCCTGCCGAATCCGTTTAGAATGTTTTTAAAGGGCATGCCCACTAGTTGCACTGCATACAGCTAAAATATGACGTTTTTAAGTCTAATGAGGAAATTTAAGTAATCTTCATGCTCTTCTCAAATCATTACCTATCAAGTTGTTTAAGCTTTTTGTTTCAAGGGCATTTTTGAAGTGTGCTCACAACAATGAATCCTCTTCATTAAGTTAACAGGCTTTCAGCGTCTTTGTGCTTACATAGATCTGCGTTCTAGTCAATTTTATGCAGTAGATTTGATTTTGTAATAGTGATTACACCTGCGGAGCGGAAATAATTCAATCGGATGAGATGATAAAACCGTACACGTGTCGTGCATTCTCAGTCCCAAAACATATTTTATCTTCCGTGCTTTCAGTAGTTTTGAACCTGGAGTTTAACGCAGATCCTGTTGCCGAGAGGACGTTACTCTCTGGCATGTTTAAAACAAAACTGATAGGCATTCGTCCTGAGAGCTCTGAGCCGACGCGTGATCGTTGATTCTGAGGTAGTTTGTCCCTCCTCGGTCTCCCACGCCACGTCTTCTTGGCTGATCAACGAGCGTGACCTTGCAGCCACTGTAGGTCAGACGGACACGGACATTAAGCGATCGATACTACACGCGCCATTGTGCTGAAGCGAAGGTCGTTGATGCGTGGCTGAAGATACTTCTGCTAACTCTCTGACACTCAAAATGGCAGACGCCGCAGATGAGGACTTTTATCCTTTGGGGAGTTTCTACGTCACCGACAAGGAATTTGATAAGCTTCTTACAATGACCTTCGAGACTTATATGATTTCACCCTGGACGAACAAGATGGAAGACACGTGTAGACATCCTGTGGAAATTCCCATCTGCATCGGAGGAGCAATGGTAATACTGCGAGAAAAACATGAGCAAGAACT